AATAAAGTGACTTATGACCATTTTAACACTTGACTATTGCAGCATCCCCACAGTCAGGTGATCACAATTCAGATGCTTGGCAGTTAATTCATATTTATGACTGTTGCAGTGTCCTAGGGTCACATAATCACCTTTTATAATCTTCTTACAAGCAAAGTCAATGAGGAAACCAGATGCCCTTAACAATTGTGGTACTGACTTAACAACTGCAGTGATTCACTTAACAACTGTGGCAAGGAAGGTTGTAAAATGGGGGGAAAATTCATTTAACTAATGTCTCACTTAGCAACAGAAATTTGGGGCTCAGTTATGGTCATAATTTGAGGATTAGCTGCATGTTACATTTATCCAACAAATGAATTTCTAAAGTCTCTTGTTTTAATTGTGTAAATCTGATTGCTTCCATTCTTAAACTCTTGCTGGTAGGTTAGCTTGAAGAAAAGTATTAGTGCTCATGCCATTGCAAAAGCTTTTATATATTTACCCATTTAGAACTGGATGATCCTGTGAATCTATAGCTATTGGATTTTTCACTAGTATTTGTTTAATTCATCCCACATTACCAGTATTCAGCTTTACACATTAGGAAACTCTAATTCCAAGCTGTTTTTTAAAAAGGGATATTACTTCTCAGCAATAAACCTGCTCCTGGTACCAAGATAGATAACTACAGTATAGAATTTGGATTCTAGCCAATGGAGTTTTCCAGCTTGACCTGACCCTTTTAAAAATTAAAAGCCAGTTGTTACAATTGGCTTAAGATATAATATTATAGGAAGTAGCAGTAGTATCCTATTGATCTCACAATTGCTCTTCCAATTTCCAAATAGTGTATGTCGCTTTACTGTTACATATCTCGTTTTGTTTTCTTATGCAGTGAATATTAAGAATTACTGTTCTCTGTTTTCTGTACTACAACAAGAAACTGAAGGGAATACGTAGTAACCAGAGACTATAAGAAAGAATTTAAAATAACAGAACGGTGGTGTAATAATATACCACACTTATTTTAAGCATTATTTCATGTTCAGTTAATAATTTTGTGTGATCAATCCAGCAATGAGGGATGGGTCTCTTCACTATTCCAATTACATTGACAATTTAAATCAATAGATACATTCACCTCAGGATTGTCTATAACTTCCAGCCTTTGTTTACATGTGAAACATTCCATGAGATCCTACATTATCAGAGTTCTACCTCACAAAAAGCAATAATATGTAGAGATAGGATCTTCTTTGGAGATGTTGTGATGGCTCCCTCTGGTGCTGGCTTGGATGACAAAGAAATTGATGGCTCCAGGGACCAGGGGAACATGAAAGACTCTGTGGCTGAATCAGAATGATCAAGGTGAAGCCATGCCAAGAACTTTGTGGGATCCAAGAGGGACTAGCTGGAAGCTAGAAGCAGCTGCACAGTGCAAAAGAGAAGTTGCTGCCCCTGCCTGATCCCAAGTTGTGCAGAGAGAGGTACAATGGAGGTTATTGATGTTACTTACAAGGAGGCAGCATTGCCCCTCCTAATGAGGCATGCAAGTCAGCAACTATTTTCTTTTATCCTTGGAACTTGGAGACTGGTTGGAAATCTATCCATCCCTGAAAGTCCATGATTCATTGCCTTGAACTCATTGAGACTCTGTTGCTGTTGTTGTGCCTTGAACAAATTGAAGTCAAGTTGCTGTCATCATGCCTTGCATGCATTGAAATCAAATTGCTTTCACTGTGCTTTGAACCCATCAAAACCAAGTTGACTTCCCCATGCCTGGAGTCTGGAGAGTCATGGTTGCTTTCAGTAGTTTCTGTGCCCTGCTCAGAATTCATTCCATGCTGGTGCTGCCCCTCTCCATGCCTTAGGTGCAGAAGAAACTGAGGCTTGCCTTATTCCATTGCTGTTAACTTATGGTCACTTATAACTGACTCTAAGGACTGCACTATGTGACCTGGG